TCATACACCAGAACATTAAGAATCAACAATAAAACAGAACAGCAGATAAAAAACAACATTTAAACAAAATACAAGGTTACAGGAGAAACATACAGAAAGAAAATCAGAAACAGCTTAAAACAATCTAAAGTTAAACAATAGAGCAAATAATAGAACAGCCGTCACAGAAAGGCGATTTTAAGAATGCAACATATGCACCAGCTGCTCTGAAGAATTTTGAATTCTTTAACACCAAATGTTCTGCTGGAGGTTCTAGTAGTAGTTGGATGCATTTTTTGCTACATGAAAGCCACCATCCTAGGCTCCAACCACTGGATAAGATGCTGTGATATTTTGGAAGATTTATAAGCACTGTTTCAAAAGCAAGAAATTGCAAGAAATTGCAGTCTGGTTAAGATACTGTAATATTTTGGAGTACTTATAAGCACTGTTTCAAAAGCAAGAAACTGCAAGAAATTGCAATTGGTGGGAAGGTAACAGCATTCTGTGCACCTCGGCATTTAGTCATGCCAACCACATGACCACGGAGAAGTCTTCGGACAGCGCTGGCTCTTTGGTTTGGAAACAGAGATGAGCACTGCCCCCTAGAGTCGGATTCAACTGGCTTTTGAGGAAAGGAAACTTTTACCTTTACTGAATTTTACCCAGGTAATGCTATTGTGCGCCTTGGTGTTTAGTCATGCTGGCCACATGACCACAGAAATGTCTTCGGACAGCGCTGGCTCTTCGGCTTTGAAACGGAGATGAGCACCGCAACCCTAGAGTCAGATTTGACTGGCTTTCGAGCAAGGGAGCCTTTACCTTTGCTTTAATGCTATTGTATGTTATTATTATAATGACCTTTCATCTGCATAGATGATATAGAGGAGGGCTTAGCTGGGTGTCTGAACAGAAGGGACTGTGTGGAACGAGGGTATGAGGAGATAGGGAGCTTGGATAATAAAGGGAGAAATGGGCCAAGGTGTCTTCTTGGAAGAATGGGCTGGGAGGAGAAAGTAGGTTCATAAGGATCTGGAATTGTCTCTTCCCCCTTGTTTTTCCTCTATGGGAAGGCTTGTGAGATAAACATGGTCTAGAATATTGGCAGCTGGGTGAGGTAAATGTTTCAGAAAGAAAAAAAGATGGTGGAAGAAGAATTAAGTTCCACCTTTTCTCTTCCTTTCCTTGCTGCATTCCCTTCTGAGGGAAGGTCCCTTTGTTCTATTAAAGGTAAAGGTTCCCTTGCTCGAAAGCCAGTCGAGTCCGACTCTAGGGTTGCGGTGCTCATCTCTGTTTCAAAGCCGAAGAGCCAGCGCTGTCCGAAGACGTTTCCGTGGTCATGTGGCCGGCATGACTAAACACCAAGGCGCATGGAACGCTGTTACCTTCCCACCGAAGTGGTACCTATTTATCTACTTGCAATTTCTTGCTTTCGAACTGCTAGGTTGGCAGGAGCTGGAACTAGAGATGGGAGCTCACTCCGTCATGCGGCACCCGGGTCTCGAACTGCTCTATTTGTTCTATTACACATGGCCAAACTAGATGTTACAGCCTCTAAACTAGATGTTACAGCAGCATGCTGCTGCTGCTATTTTAGAACTGAATTCAGGCCATGTAAACATGCTGCAAGAGTCCTTATTCCTTCCCTACCCGGTTTTAGCACTTGAAAAGGTGTATGCACGGGAACAAGATCACCTGGTCCCACCATGCAGCAGGCATGATGATCAGGCTGTCACAGCATGTTATAATGACCTGAATTTACCTCTAAAATGGCCACAGCATGCATGGGTTGGACTTGTAGGCACTGTTACGTCAAGTTTGGCCCTTGGATCTGCAATATTAGGTATATTTTGACCCTAAAACTTGTACATTTAGCCAGCAGGTGTCAGTATTGCTCCCTATATTTGCAATACCACTGTGAAACCCTTTGGGGTCAGCATGCTTGCCTGACAGTTCTCACCTTCCATGCACTCAGTTTGGTACTCAGTTTAAAAGATATCGTTACTAGTTCATTACTACTACCTAAAATCTGTGTATTTCTTTGAAATCTATAGGTCTGTTGTATTGCCCACGGGGATGTGAAGCCTTTTAATACTAGCTTAGATGCACTGGTAATTTTTGCAGACAGAAGGGATTCCTGTCTTTTGAGCATGACTTCTTCACATCCCCCTCTTACTGCAGCCACAAATGCCCCTCAATGCTGCCTCTGGGAGACAAGAAACAGTATGATGAGGAGAACTGATGAAAATTGTTCCCTTTCTCATTCACAGAAATCCTCAGGTGGGTTCAACTAATGGCTGGCTGTGCTCATGTGATGGCCTGGAATGCCCATAAACATTCTCAGGGAAGAAAACTATCAATAAGTTTGCAATCAAGTTTCTGTGACGGAATGGAAAACTGGTAGTTTGTCTGGAACTAAAACCTCACATGGTCCTTTGGGGAAAAATAGCTTTGTGATACAGGCTGGGTAACATCTGAGGTAAGGAAACAAATGACCAGGGATACCAGAAGCAAGGAGACTGAAACACGGCTGCAGAGCAGGCAAAACATGAGAAACAGAAACAAACAGGTGAAGGAAATGTGAGGTTTGAATTTCATTTAAACTAATGCACAGTTCTTTGACCACAGCTTTGTAGTAAGAGATGTTTTGTACAAACATAACTTCTACAGTATAACTTATATAAATAGGTGAAACGTGAACATTCTTCTCTATTGCACCCTTGTTTTTCTGGGAAACTGGAAGTTGATGCCCTGCTTATATTTTCATTTCCAGCCTGATTGCATTTGAAATGACAAATCTTTGAACTTTGGACCCGTAAAAGATCAGTGATTTGCAGAGGACTTGATGACTGTGCAGTCATATCTTGATGCTGTTAGTATGGGAAGAGAAAGGGGTTTTTAATGGAGGAAACTACCTATGAGATATCACAAAATTTAACAAAGCTAGCTGACTATAATAAAGACAGTAAGGAGTGGGAAGTTATTTGGAATGAGAGTGGTCCATCGGGGCACTATTCAGAATAATGAAGAAGAAGAAGAAGAGATTGGATTTATACCCCGCCCTTCACTACCCAAGGGAGTCTCAGAGCAGCTTACAAACTCCTTTCCCTTCCCCTCTCCACAACAGACACCCTGTGACGTTGGTGGGGCTGAGAGAACTCTTGACAGAAACTGCTCTTTTTCACGGACAGCTCTTATCAGAACTACGGCTTGTCCAACGTCA